ATTTAAAATTTTTAATTAAAATAAAAAGTGAAATCTTACCCCTCCTTCTTAGTTCTAACCTGATTAAATTTTTATACTCGGTCGTTCCCCTTCGTGCTTATAGTAACACAAGTAAGATAATCATTTGTTAAATTTACTTGTAAAAATATATATTTTCATATAGGAAGCGAAAAAGCTCGAACACAAAAAACATGACATTATATTTTCTTATTCACAACAATCGTTAAAGAGAGTTAAAAATATTGAATATAGTCTGTTCCCCATTCATTTGACCCTGTTATTTCAGGTAAAGTGAATGCATTCTCCTTTCTTTTGGTCAACACTTTTGCGTACAAAACAATGTAAGGAACCCTTTTGTGTGCATAACAATACCAATGCCGAAGCAGCCTATATGTATTGACATTCCTATAAACGATAACTCATAAATCGGCACTTAGTTGGTCATTTTTCACACCTGAGTTACCTGTCCTTAAAATACAACATCGTAAAAGTCATTTATGAATTATTAATTTTTTTAATGATTTAATTAAAAGTATGCATATGTTATTATCTTTTTTGATATTTTCATGTACCTATAAATCTATCTATGCAATGTTTTTTACCATATGTTCAACTTGAAAAATTAGTTGAAAGGCCTATATACTCTATGAATTTTGACCAATATACAGTGTGGGTTATTTCTTGTTCCTGAATGTCTGTTAAATTATTAAGAATTTAAAAGCTGTTTCCTTTTATGAATATTGATAATACATTAACTGTAAATATATTTACATGCCTAACAAGAGAAAATATAAATAATACTGTTCCAATTTAATTAATGCTTTTGGTTCCCTGAACTGGCAAATTGTATTTTGCTCTCTCTCTCTCTCTCTCTCTCTCTCTCTCTATTTTTAAATATATATGTACTGTAATTATTTTCTTAAATTATTATATAAATCTAACATAAGTTAACAAAATTTAATGATTAACTCCTATGTCTTACTGAGACTCACAGAGTAACCCAAAATGTATGCAATGGATCGATCTTTCGGTGAAATGAAGGTTGGAAAGATATTACGACCACTATGATGATATTTGTCATGTGTGGGTGGGATCATCCAGTGCATGTGCTGTTTCTAATTTGCATTCATTGTTTTCAAAAATTACAGAATTTACTAAGTTTAACCTTCAATGCTGATAAAAAATTTGTATCAAATTTTTTTTCACCTATGCAGACATGAAATTCAGTGCAATATACCATGTACATATGTCATAATATATGTTTATATTACATTCAAACATTTTGGACTTGGTTTTTTTGGTAGAATGCAGTTTGTCAAATTAAACCCTTGCAGCTGTCTCAGTTGCCTTCGATTTTTTATCATCAAACAAACTGTTCGGTTCTTCAACAGGGTATTACAAAACCAGTATATGCTACCTTTGAGTCAATATAAATACAATAAAATTGCCGTGTCTGTATAAGGATGGACTTTTTTGAGATTTTGTTACTTTAATATTATTGTGACCCAATTATACCAAGAGATGAAAGATTTTTAAAATTTGTATTAATTGTAAAAATGTGGTTGAAGATGAACATCATTTTTTATTTGTATGTCCTCTATATAAACAACTAAGAAGTGAATTTTGTACACTTTTTAATAATACATGTATATCTTATGAAATTCTTAATCCAGCAGATGTTAATTCTTCAAGAAATATTTGTAACTTCATATATGATGCATGTAATATAAGAAAATCTATGTGACTATATATTTTATATTTGTTTACTGTATGTATGACTTGTGCCACATGTGGTTTTTGTCAAATTGAATAAATAAAATAAATAAAAAAAAAAATTAGCTTGCTGAAACCAAGTATTTTGTCAAATTTAGAAGGATTGGATTTCATTGCTAATTTAAAGCTTAAAAAGTTGTATCCAACGAAAAATGATCTCCATTTGAAATTTTAAATTATCTGAAATGTAGAAAGAAGCAATCGTGAATCAACATGTTAGAATTATAGCAATTATGCACTAAATTTTTCCAAAAAATGTAAAAGATTTTACATGTAAGTGACAAATCATTTGAAATGTTAAATTAGCTAACCCTCTTAGATAATTATAATGTTTTCAAGTTAGAGGATGTGTTTTATTGAGGGTTTTTGTGGTATAATTCCACCCATTATTGAGATAAATTTGATTTAAATGAATAAAGCAATTTATTGTCAACACTGACTAAGAAAAGACGTTTTGTAATTGATTAGTATACAGGACGCCTGATCTAAGAATAACATTTTCAAATTCATGTGCAAATGCTTTCCTCTTTAACAAAGAAACACCTTTTTAATCACATGTACTTGTAATTCTCCTTAAGAGGCCGTGTCAGTAACCATTGAGATTTACATGGAAAGTCAAAATTTTTGAATTGGGCAAAAACCACCCTAAAATATTTGAACAACAACAAAAAGCACATTTGAGACAAATTTTACAAATTTATTCATCATCATTGGTTTCCATGGCAACAGATGTGATTTGCATAGTAAATTATCAACGAAACATTGTAAAATAATACAAATTTAGACATTTTTAAATGCAGAGGGGGGAACAATTGGAAGGTCTAAATTTGTTTTCTTATACTGAAATAATGAAAGATGCATCAGAAGAAAATATTTTTATGTCTGTAAGTATTTTTTAAAATTTTGATATGGTTGCTATGGCAACCGAAAAATGACAAGATTTTCATGATGGGAATATCCGTGGAAAATTAAGTTTTTTCAAAAGTTGAATACTTAAAAACGCAACAGCCGTAGATATTGTATGTCATACAAACTTAAAGATATATCCCAATACTATGTAATAATAAAATAAAAATTGGTAGTCGGATGTCCAAATTTTTTTTTTCAGAAATCAAAATTTGCATTTTTTTCAAAGCACTTTCAATGGATTTTCGCAAGTTTTGGCAATTTTTTTTAATATTACAACAGATATTTAACGGTTAGATGCCATATCTATAGAAACATAGTACTTTAGAAAAATTTCCATAAAATGTAGGACTTTTTTACAAAACAATAGGAAAAGAAATCTCCATAGCAACGGAATTTATACCCTAGCAACCGACTTGACTAGGATCGGCAAAACATGAAACATACACCCAGGAAATTTAAGCCTGTCAAGTGGAATATTTGGGTCATGGCATCCTGATCAACTGTCAACCCTGTTGTACTTACCCCCATCATATGAGTAATAATAAGTACCATTGCTCTACAAATTCTAATAGTTATACAATATAGTCAGAATGTGGACCAAATACGCAAAAACTTGACCATATATGACATAACAAAAGCCGAAATTATATGTCAAAATGACGCAATGTTCAACCCAAACAGACGCCAATGCTCTGTCTTCTGGCTAATTTACATTGCTGTACCATGTTTATTATTCAAGTTATAAACCTAAAAACAACTAGAGCTGTCCAAATGGTACAAAATACCCCCCCCCCCCCAGCTGGGTTTTTCAGAGGGGCTAAATCATGAATATTTTATGGATCTAAGAGAAGAGAGAAAAGCTAAAAAAATTTAGTGCAAATGTAATTGCTCATTAATTTTTTTTATACATGTAATTGAATCGAAGGTACAGCCTAAAAAAATAGACTGAATGTATGGATCACACATGAATTATGAATTTTTTTTGTCAGTGACCTTGAACTTGCATAAATGACCTTGGTTTAAAGTCATGTCAAGTTCTCAGGTCAAAGCAATGTTTGTGTAAAGTGGGAACCTTCCAAGTTTATCCTTAAGAAAGATATGGACCAGACATGAATTATAATTTTTTTACTGTCTGTGCACTTGAACTAGGACAATTGACCTTGGGTCAAAGTCATTACACCCTTATGTCATAAGTGATCTTTGTGTTAACAAGAAAGTATCCAAGTTTATCAATATGAATGATATGGACCAGGCACAAATTATGAAGTTTTTCCTTTCAGTGACATTAAACTGACACAAAGAACCTTGGGTCAAGGTCATGACACATCCTCAAGACAAGTTCCTGTTTTACACCCTTAGGTCACGAGGAATCTTTTTGTAAAATGGGAACTTACCAAGTTAATCCATAAGAAAAATATGGAACGGACACAAATAATGAAATTTTTCTTCCAGTGACCTTGAACTTCTCCAAATGACCTTGAGTCAAGGTCATGACACACTCTTAGGTCATGAGCAATCTTTGTACGGAGTAGTAGATTCTAATGTTTCTCCATAAGAAAGATATGGACTGTACATGTTTGCACAGCTAGACAGATGGACCGATGGATAGACAGACAGACAGACAGACAGACAAGCTGATTCCTATATTCACCCCCCCCCCCCAAACTTCGTTTACAGGGGGTATAATGAGAAGTCAAACACAAGACGACCTTATACATCTTCAAATGAAAATAAACCTTAACAACAGCAATGCGTGTGTAAATGTATTTTAAAGCAACTTTATATTTCAAGTTTTATCTTAATTTACTATCAAAGACCAATCAACTGGTCAAATATCAATGCTCACTGAAAGTATCACAGATATGAAGGTAAAACAAGAGTTTTCCATTGAAAATGTATGTCTCAGGAATGACATATCAAATTGTGACAGACTGATGGTCAGCTAGTCAGACTGACAGACAACGGAGAAGTGATCCCTAAGAGTCCCCTTGCTATGCAGGCTACACAACTAGGCACCATTTCAGCATATCTTGTACCTGATACTGAGACTGAATTTTTTCTGAAGTGTACAGTCAAATATTCTACAGAAATATTTTGCTAGAAATAATAATTTATCGTATAAGTGGAAATTTTAGCGAGATGCAAATTTAGCGATTTCTGCCAAAGTCCTGTATTTTATTTTTAGCCAGAAGTAATTTTAGCGATTTTAAAATGTTAACTAAAGAAGCTATTACAAATAATAAGACATTAATTTTTAAAAATATTCAATTTTAGCGATGTCAGCACCCTCTCAAATAATGCCAAAATTTAATCCTCTCTAAAAATTCTACTTATACAGTATGTTCTTCAATGTACATTTATGCACAGTAAACAAGAAGTATGACACATTTGATTTTAGATATTATCTATTTTAACCAACTAGAGCTAGAACAGTATAATCCAAGTGTTGTCCACAGACAGATGGACAAACAAACAGGGTGATTCCTATATCCCCCTTTCAAAAACTTTGATATCAAAATCTTAAACTTAGTAAGAAAATGTTTTTTAGTTCACTGCTTTAAGAGCCCTATCAGAAATCTGATTCATATTGTTCATGTTCCCTTCAGCTGTCAAGTCATTTTCTTCACAGTCAGTGTTAGACCTCTGCCTTTTCACCAATGGCATCAAGATACATAATCAAGGTCTTCCTTCTATGTAATGGACTATCTTCATGCTCCTGAGAATCCTGGCATTCAGATGACTTTCACAAGGTGTTTGGAAAAGTTGTCGTCTGAAATTGATTCCACCTACAAAAGAAAGATGCAAAATCAATCCAACTAACAACTTCATTTAAAACAATTTCATTTTGACACAAATGTTACTTATGCTGAGACAGTGTTTCACAGCCCTGAGCCAAAGTCGCACCTTCAATGTCAAGGTCAAGGTAAAATTTGATGGAGTTTTCAGGTCTGTTTTTCTATATGCCTCATGGAACAACTTCATACTTGGCATTCAATGCTCCTAATGATAAGGTGGTGTGACATGACCCTAACTCAATGTCAAACTTCAATGTTAAGGTCACAGTAGACTTCAATGAAATTGTCTTATCTGAAATGCATTTCATACCTGCTTCAAAAGCACAGCTTACATGACACAAATGTGCCTCGTGATATCAGTCTTTAACAATCTTTGACAGAAGACCAGGTGAGCAATATGGGCCCATTTTAGGCTTCTTGTCTGGGTTTAAAATATGAAGTTCATAGGTCAAATGGATTTAAGTTATTAAGTCACAATCCTTTCAAGTTTGAAGTTTCATAGCATTTAAGTTATCTCTCGACAAAGAAATGGATGAACAAAGTGATTACTGGTACTCTTTGAGGCTGGGCTTCTATGAACAAGCTGATGCTCAAAGTAGTTCTAAACAAATCAGTACATGTAAAAAATTCAGTACACACCTCTATTTGTTCCATATGCTTTGAATCTGGTTGTACTTCATGGTAATTTGGTAGTTCACATTGCAACTTATCATCATCATGATTCTCCTGAAAGTATTTCATATCTGTTTACAAATTTACACGACCCTACTGCATATATTTCCTGATTCTTTATAATAAACAAGCTGATGCTAAAAGTAATTTAAAGCAAAATAAGTTTGGGAAACAGTATGCCCCCAGCGTCAACAAATATAGAAAAGCTAGTTTTAGCAAAAAGATCAAGATCTAAAGGTTACTGATGTTGGTGTAATCTAAAAGAACTTAATTAGTGGATTAAGTATACCAAATATGATCTCACAGTTCAAAAGTCATGGTAAAGGTTAAAGCTGACCAACAGATAGACAGAAAGGACAAACAAAAATATGTTCATGCTCTTTGGGCATAATAATTCAGTACATGTAAAAATTTCAATACAAACCTTTATTTGTTCCACATTAATTGGATCTGCTTGTACTTCAAGGTTATTTGTTAGTTCACATTGCAACTGATTATCATGATTCTCCTGAAAATATTTTAGACCTGTTTACAAACTTACTATAAACCTTTAATTAATATTTTGTTTCATTAAAAAATATAAAATTTTCAAGGGCAATAATGGAATGATAAGTCTTGTTTATGGATGTGTGTTATTTTACATGCACATAAAACAATTTGTAATTGTGATTTAAAAAGCAGCGCTTCAGTATGTTTTCTATTAAAGGGAATTAGATAGGTATGAGAGTAGATATTATTCTTAAATATACCTCATATCTAAATTAATTGTGAGATATAAAATAATAAATCTTTCTATTTATCATCCCACATTTTCTTCACATCATGATTTGACATATTATTCATTACTGAAAAAGTAAGTAACGCTTCATACTTCAAAATATGTTTTATTTGAATTTAATGCTATACTTGATGCTGAAAATCAATGTCTGGATTTAAAAAAAAGTGACATTTGGAACAGAGGGATATTGTCCCTTAAATGCCGTTGTTAAAATTTATCAATGGCACAATGCTTTTAGTACTTGACAATATCAAAGAAAAGAAAATAATCACTCATCATTTCGATACAGGACTTGTATATTTTTTTTAATTTGTAAACGCACGAAATGAAAACAAATCTCGACAGTCAGAGAAAGTGTTTCCATCGGATCATATATTTAAAAACAAACCATAAAAACTATATTGGTAAGTACTAGAGGCATTGTACTATTGATAAATTATGAGTTTGACAAGTAATTGCAAGTATCGAAAATACACCCGAGAATTCTGCCTCTACCAGCTGTCTACTTGGAATTCCCAATTCTCTTAAAGACGCCGGTTATAGCGTTTTCCTAGCACGTAAAATATAGAAATACTTTTAAAAAAAACAGGAAAACGTACTTTTCAGTCACCTACAAACTCTTGATGCTGTCATGTCCTCTGTAACCGCACAAGACCTGCTTTAAACATCGTTACATGGTGTATTTCTTCTCAGATTTCTGCTGCAACAGCAACTTTCTGTTCTTTATTAACAGGAGAGTTCCACAAAAGGGAGATAATCGTTCACGCGTTTTCATATTTGTGGTACATTCTAAATCAAATTATTTGCTATAGAGTACCCAACTACCATTTTTATGTTCCCCAAACGAAGTTGGGGAACATATTGTTTTTACTCTGTTTCTTATTATTATTATTATTTTTCTTCTTCTTCCTGGGTACTTTTTTGTCCGGGAGTGATCTTGTAAACTACACATCTGACTTAGGTAAAACCTTTTTAGGGTCAGTAGGCATGTTATGTAGATTTGCGGAACGAAGGTCATTTTGCGCGCACGTGCTTGCAAGAGCGTGCACGTGCAACACGTGAAATGACCGATTTAATTGATATAGGAGTAACTTTTTAAATTTTTGATGAAATGCTTTCAAACTTATAATATAAGAATATTTTAGTAGCACAGACAATATGACATGGTCAAAATAGCAAGATCTCACGCGCATGCACGTGCACTTCGCTCTGATTGGCTGAAACTAAAGTCTCAATATCTTTCTTGTTTTTTGACGAAATCCTTTGAAATTTTGAACATCGCCATGCATTAGGATAGCCTACAACATGATATATAGCAATTATCATGAAAACACGTGCACGCACGTGTGCTGCTTTCTGATTGGCTGAAAATTTAAATAGCTATAACTCCCTTGGTTGTCAACCAAATAGGATGGGATTTGGAACATAGATAGATATAATGGACTACTACAAGGAAGTATGGTCATCATGCACATGCATACACGCGGGTGTACGTGCGCTGCAATCTGATTGGCTAAAACTTTAAACAGCTATAACTCCCTTGGTTTTCAACCAAACGGGGTGGGATTTAGAACATAGATAGATGTAATGGACTTCTACAAGAAGGTATGGTCACCATGCACATGTATGCTTGTGCGTGCACGTGAAATGAGCAAAATCAAAAATACACTTGAATGAGCGTATTTTTTTAATACTTTTGGATTAAATACTTTAACATTCAGTATATTGAAATATGTAGATTGTGTAGACATGATGATATGGTCAGTACGCTCATGCATTCACATGCGCACGTGTGCAACGCTAAAATTTGAATGAACTTGGTACACTTCTGGGTAAACGTTGTAAAGTCTCAAGTGCATAGAGTTTGTCTTATTTAATGAAGCTTACAGGGAATATGGCACCAAAAGGGAGTTGGGGAGCGTTATAATATCTTGTTTACGGTCCCCGTTACAATTAGCACTAGTTTATTATTGGATTTATAACTTTAAAGCTCGTAGTTTCTATTGCATGTATGATTATGATAGAGTTTGGTTGCGTTTTCGTGTAAAATATTTATAAAAGTCATGTTGATTTTACAGCATTTGGTAGAAAAAAAGCAAAGTAGGCCCCAATGCTTTAAAATAAACATGGGAAAAAATAAATCTCCCATATATATTGAAATTAAGAAAAACATAGTTTGATTCTGTTATTAATATTGACAGGGTTATCAATAATCAAATTCACACTTTTCAAGCATTAAAATCACCGTTGCTATGGTAACAAGGAAGATGTGACCCAAATAATTCATGTTTGAAAGGACATTCATCTATACTTCCATGCAACCAAATATTAAAGCAAAATATTTTTTTTCACATTCCACTCACTTTATATACAATACTCAGTGGTTACTGACATGGCCTCTTAACAATTAAAATAATTTCCCGTTTGAAATTATCCTGCTGTGACACTTTCTCTTTAACAATACCTTGAAATGTTAATTCAGCTGATTATAATTTCACCTGACATTTCACATGAAGGCCACAGTGACAGTTGAATGTAAAGATGTGACTTTCTTAACAAGGCGACACAGATTTCTGTGTATTCCTACATCAGCATACTCATTTTTATTGTAGAATTGTAACTAGTTTCCGTTTCATCCTCAGATAGACATAGTTTTGAACAGGAAATGACAGTTTACAATACAGGAAAGAGTCCTCAATTCGGATACTGACCCTATTATTATCAGCGGATTGAAGTTGTGCATGTTTACATGGGTTGTATAAATTATCAGATAAATCCGATCATTATCTGTATGTCTGTTTGATTAGAGGTGCAGGAGATGGTCAGGTGTGTTAGCTTTACCGAGGATGAAGTGTTTTATAGATCGTCTTTGTCATTCCAATGTGGGATGTGATATAGGGACAGTAACCATTCTTAAGGAGTGCTAATTTGACTAAGATGACTTCGTGGTTTTTATCAGCTCAAATCGTGTAAATATATAAACAATGATAACATACAGTGATTGTTTCTACCAGAATTTGGAATAGAGTTATTTCAGGTGATTTAGTGACGTGATTCATTTTTAACTTTCGTATGAAGTGCAATTATTAATTTAAATCATTGTCAGTTAATATTAATTTTAAAATGATTCAATAGGAAGTTGTGCGTTTTAGCAGCTAAGCACATACTTACAGGAATGAGGAGGACAATATTTTTTTTTGGCCAGAAAATTCTAAGGAAATAAAATTTATTTCAGTTTTATAGATGTCCGTGTGAAAAAAAAAAATCCCTGAATTTGGAGTGATATTTTGTATTTTTCTGTGAGGATATAAACCAGGAAATGATTTTGAGTGCATGGTGCTCGTTGCTAAGATTTAAAGATTTACATTTGTTGAGAGTGTTTGATCGAGATCTTATTGTGGATGGAACTGTGAAACAAGATTTCATATTGCATAACTGATAACAATATCTTATCGTCTTGTCAGATTTTTTACGATAGGCCAAGAGAAACTTCCCAGTTGTGTATTTATTTCAACCATTTAAAATCGTAGTGAATTTGAATGGGAAGTATTTTCATTGTGTTCCTGTTGGTATTATAGCATGGGCTTTAAAATATTTTGACTAATCCAGTGGAATTGGATTTGTGTTCTAATGAAAGAGGGATGTTTCAAACATGAAGATTATGTTGTCCTTGCGATTTCTGACAAGGTGCTGTGCATATCAGCGTTTCTCGAGTCAGGAGTCCGAGGAAAGTGAAGAAACAGAAAGGTAGGTATAGGTGTGTAGGGGCTCCACCCTCACCGAGTTCATGTAATCTGGATTAATTCTAGCCTATAATGAGTCTTAATTGAAAGACATTCATTCATATGTAAACATGGGGGGGGGGGGAGGCACTTTAAGGGCGGGGTTTGGGTTTAATGGTTTATCCTTTCCAGAAATAGTCTTTCTAGAAAGCTGACACATGACTTAGTATACCCCTCCAAATCAAAGATAAATTAACCAGTTTTTCTGTTTACAATTTTGTGTAGAGGTGAAAGTTAAGGCTGTGACATTATAATTTTGTTCAGAACATTTAGATTCAGTAAATTAGAGAGATTTTTTAGAGATTTTCTTTGTTTGGAAGAAAGAGAAAGGAAAGGTAGTGGGTGATGATGGAGCTAAAATCTGATTTAGATTCATGATTCAAAGCTTGGTTACTTTATCTTATATGGTACTACCCTGGTATTAAATCAGTAAAATAAACTTTAATTGAGCAGATTCACTAGCTATATGCACATACATTGTAGTAATAACTCCAGCATTCAGTAAAGTGCTCCCATTCAGTCATATTTTAAAGTTTCAAGATAAGTTGCCAAAGTTTTCATACATGTATTGATCAGTGGTCAGAGTTCTGGGAGGATTTGACTCGAGGTCAACAGGGAATGTTTACTCCTCCAAGGCTCCTGATCCCACCTGGAATGGGGGACCATGTTTTATACCATGTTTACAGACTTGTATTGTTTGTAGGTTGTTTTTTTTTTATATAGATCAATTATTGTAATAATAAATGTAATAATTAATGTAATATTCCGCTTTTTCATACAAATCATTAAGAGTCAGGTCAGCCAGATCATTTTGAATGATTATTTATAAATGTAAGAACAGGCACTGATTATGTTTATTCTATAATTCAGTTTAAAATAATTTTACGACATCTTGATATATTCATCGCTATTCAGACAGGGAAGGTAAAGGTGAAAGTGAGTTA